TAGCGTTGTGAGGATGTGCCTGCACGTTTCCGCTGGGGTTGTTTCACTAATTTCTAGCTTCAAGCAATGATTACCTTATTTTCATGTGTCTTGCTGGGAATCTGAGTAAGTAGCTAACATTTTTGAACTTTTTTTTAAGTTTTAGTAGTGTAATCAGTTCTGAATGACATGTTGCTAGGATGAAAAACCTAGAAAAAGATTATTCTATTAATAGAAAATATCTTGTTTGTTTTATTGTCAGTAATCATCGTTCAGTTTCATTGTACTCAATTTTGTGTAAAGGTTAGGTGTAAAGTAGAAAATTGTTGTATTTTTTTTGTACTAGAATTTTAACATTGAAGATTTTAAAATTAACAGAAAGTGGGGAAGGCACATATCTTATTGTCTGATGAGCTGTAAGGAAATTTTCTTTATTTTTATTTTTTTTTTCAAAAATACTTTATTTAAATCACATGAGTTTTCAAGTACTCAGAAAGTTGAGATCAATTAGGTAGGGCTGTTAGTAAAAAGAAGAATATGTTTGAAAACTGTTTAGAAGTTGAAATTTCAATTAAATTTTCCTTTGCTTGCAAAAAAAAAAAGTGCTCTTTTTGATTGATCTGTTGGCACCAATGACAGTCAAAAGATATGGGGGTTGCTAGAATTCTAAAATATTTATTGTTTTTTACAACTGCTGCTATTATTTGATAAAAACTCCTTTGAAATTTTCAGTTTATTTTTGTCATTTAATAAGTGTATAACTGGTGAATTTTGAGGAAGAAAAAGAAATATTTGTATGCTTCTTTTTCAAACATTTCTTACTGTTTGTACAATTTGAAGTTTTCCTATGTTTTTAACGGGTAGAGTATTGCTTGCTTAATGGGTAGTTTATTGTACTGTCGTCGTGAAACAGTTTAAGAGTTATGCAAAAGTATGAAAAAAATTTATTTATTTGTTTTTTTTTTTGTGTGTGTTTAAAGACTTACCATGAATAAATGTTTTTTGATTACAAAAGTAATAATTTTCTTTATGCAGTAATAGTTGATAATGTGGAGTAAAAATTCAGCAACGGTCTAAGCAGTTTAAAGTAATCATGATGGCTTTTGATCAGTTCGAAAAAGTAGGTCAGCAGAAAAAAAATTCATCTGGGTCTTTTTTTTTTTTTTTTCGTGACTTAGAGCAGTATTAGTGATTGATGAAAATAAGGGTGTAAGTTTTCCGGTTGACATAATTATTTGGAGTTATAGAGTCTTGAAATTTGCGATTATATTTAAAAAAATTAAAACTTTACTGCACTGTTTAATGTTTTGCACTTTGACTGTGATGGTTGTTGAAATGTGGCACCACATCTGAAACGGCTGAGACGTCAAAAGGCTTTCTTTGTTTCTGAAATGTTGCAGTTCATCAGAGTAGTTTCAGATGGACGTGGCACTGCATAAATCGTCATGATCTTAAAATATACAATGGTTTTTCCAGAAGCTTTTTCACCTCAGTATCTATTTACCGACGTCGTATGCCGCTGATTTGCTTGTGATTTTCTCGCCATTTTATTTCCGTGCTGCTGTTTTTCATCACAACTCTGTTTTTTTTTTTTTTTTTTTTGATTTTAATCTTTTATTTTTTCATCACTGATTATTGACAAGTTTTCATTTAACTAAACCTTTTTAGCATTGATAATTGTCGGTGAAAATCAGTGACGTTTGCTTAATTGAGATTTTTGGGGGCAATGAACTTGACGTTAAGTTCTGGTCTCAATCTTAGTTTTTTCCCACTTTTTTTTTTTGTTGTTTTTTGCTGATTCTTATTTTTTATGATTTGTTGTTTTTTTTTTTGAGCTGCTGGAGAGTTTTTTTTTGACAGTTTTTATTTCGAAATCAAAAAGAAGCAAATTGAAAGTTTTTAAAAAGTTTAAATTATTGGAATAGTATGTTGTAATATTCCATTCTTTTTCTTTTTTTTTT